AGTTGTTCTTGTCAAAAAAGGCCTACATTGAAAAGGTTTTGACAAGATTTGATATGCTTAATGCTAAGCCTATCGATACTCCATGTGCTACAAATTTTCATCCTACCATGAGTGATGAAATGTCTGAAGGGGAAATTGATTATATGTCAAGAGTTCCTTATGCTAGCGCTGTAGGAAGCTTGATGTATGCTATGGTCTGTACAAGACTAGATCTTGCACATGCAGTGAGTGTGGTGAGCAGGTTAATGGTTCAACCACACAAGGAGCACTGGATGGCTGTGAAGAGGATTTTCCGGTACCTTAAGGGTACATCTGATGTTGGTCTTGTATATGGAGATAAAGATCCAAGACTGGTTACTGGGTATTCTGATTATACAGGAGATGTGTACAGCAGGAGGTCTATGACCGGTTATGTATTTGCTTTGGGTGGTTCTGTTGTGAGTTGGAAGGCGACTTTACAGTCGACGGTGACTTTGTCTACTACAGAGGCAGAATATATGGCATTGACAGAAGCTACTAAGGAGGCGATATAGTTGAGAGGATTGGTTAGTGATCTTGGTCTACATCATGATCAGACTACTGTTTTTTGTGATAGCTTAAGTGCTATCTGTTTAGCCAAGGATCAGGTTCATCATGAGAGAACCAAGCATACTGATGTGAGATACCATTTTCTGAGAGATGAGAAGAGGATTGAAGTGAAGAAGGTAGGAACAACTGATAATCCTATAGATATGTTCACTAAACCGGTTCCTCACAGCAAGTTCAAGCATTGTCTTGATTTGCTGAATATCTCAAGCTGTTAATCTGGCCCTGATGGGCATCTGACCCTATGGGGCATCTGGCTCGAAGAGAGCATCTGGCCCAAGTGAGGGCATCTGGCTCTGAGGAGCATCTGGTCCGATGGGACATCTGACATCTGAGTTCGACGGAACTTCTGAGGCAAAGATAGAGTCTGGTACATCTGTATTCTGAGCACGAAGACGAAGAAGTACATTCTGGTACATCTGATTATGGAGAATTCAAGTCAAGGTGAAGATTTGTTGAAATATACCTTGAATCTGCGAGTGGCATAGATCGAATCGATACAGTTGTCATGCATCGAGCGATCTCTGGTAGGAATCATCGATCAATGGGAAATATTATGCGTCGATCGATGCAGCCAAATCTGAGAAAATTGGAAAGTCCGAGAAAATTGGAAAGTTTTTTTAAATGTTTTCTTATACATACTCTAGGGTGTTTACCATAATCTGTAACACGAATTGTACTCTGAAAAACTTGATTCCATCAATAAATTACTCTTTTTTCCCGTGGATTAAACCACGTTAAATCTCTGTGTGTCTTTCTTCATTGTTTTATCATTTGTTAATCTGTATCTTCTTACATCCGACACAACAAAAACTAACCAAGAACATTCCGAGTTGTTCATCTTCTCTATCGAATCAAACCAATACGTCTTTTGCTTGAAAGACACGCAGGTACCAGTATACAATAAATTGAACTCCGAAGTGAAATCAAGAGTTCTCCATGTATTAGACTTATTCGCGTAGATTGCAAATTCATGTTCAGAAGTACCAACTTTATAGCTCAATATTTGTAGTTACTAGTTCCACATCTAGGTTCTCTGTAGGATCCGAGAGCGTATGTGTTCTTTATACTTCTTGGTTGGATCCACCTGGTCTTACCAGTACACAGGTTTCAAAGCACGATTCTACTTATGTCGTTACTGATAGTAATACATAACAATAACCTGTCGCAGTGAAAGACTATAACTATTTTGACTGGATTTGAATGCGAATTGAGTAACCTAAGCTTACCTTTAAACTCCATAGATGGAGTTCCATGGAGATTGATACTCATCACACAAATCCTAAAATATTCTTTCACCGTGAAAACCAGAGACTGTTTTGCTGCTTTATCCAAGTGTTTACTTGTGAATCGCTTATCGTTGAATAAACGGTTCCAACTTTTTCAAGAAGATCGTAGACGTTTCAGAAATATGGCTGGGACACGACAGAGGGGGTGATTGGTTGGGATGTAGCTAGTGACTTTAACTTTAATTTCTATCTACAACCATAAAAATTACCAATCATGATTTATCTTGATTTTAAAGCTAAAAGACTTAAAAAATGGTTATAGCACTCTTGTTTTCTAAAGCACTATTTTATATGCTGTAGAAAATAAATATTGCTGTAAAAGTATCTTTCCATTTTTATTATTTTCTCATTTATTTCCTATATGTACATTTTCTACAATTACTTCAAAAAATCTTACAAACAAAATTTTACAATAAATTTTTTACAATTATATTCTAACCAATCACCCTTAGAGTCTCTCCTCTATCAATTCTCCTGGAAGGTCCGACATCATAGTCATTGTGATTTCAAAGCAAGAAAATGCCGGTGGCTTGGACTTATTATTTAGGGTTTTCGTATATATATGTACCAGAACCAAACTCTTTAGTTTCTTTTTGGAGTTAAATCTTCGTTTTTTTGTTGTCGAAGCACAGTTGTCTAATGATGAAACCAGACATAAATCCACATAAGACAGATAGAATTATCGATAATAATATCGTCTATGTAATGTTTCTCATAGTTTAATAGCAAAATTAACGAGACAAAAAATCTTCTTTTGTCATTAAACCGGTCCGGTTTTCGCAAGAAGAAAAACTCGTACTGTACATGAACCGGCACAACAAGGGAAACTCGGGTCAAATACCGTGACCCAAAAATATTTTGAACCGGCCGGTTTCCCGTTGAACATTCATCCGTCGTCTTATGGGTTGACTCAGTGACTCCAGGCATGCGGTTATCACCCCAACCGAACCTAACCGCAAAGTTTGGTTTTCAATTAGTTCAGTTAGAAAGTTCAGTTCGGTTTTCTAAAAAAAGAATTTATCAAACAGAACCAATTTGAATCAAAATTCTGAATTGAACTAACCCAAATAACTGAAAACTGATTAAAAAATAAGTTTATCTATACTATTAAAGCTGAAGTACAAAAATGAAGTGTTTGGAAACATGAATAGAAAAATTTTAAACATGGATAACAAACAAATTTAATGGATTATTTTTATTATACTAAAGATTACTGCGGCCCAAAGTACCATTATTATTTGTTTTTAAGTTTTCTATCATTAATATTACTTCACTTTTGAAAAATTTATATACATATATATACTCGTGTTTTAAATGTATTTAAAATAAATCAAGAACAATATATATCTTATTTATATAATTTATATTGACTATTGTTATAAGTTTCTAACAGTGATATACTAGCCTCCCAATTTTTCATTAAAAATTAACTTGAAAATTTGACTAAATTGTTTAGTGTATATAATTTTACACCAAATTTAGCTAAAAAGAACTTTATAAACTGTTACTATAATGTTTACGGGTCATAATATTTCACCGACGCCGATATTACACAATACAGTAATGACTTACAATGTTTAAACAATATACTATTAATTAGTAAAACTGGAACAATTATATTGCAATTATTGAAATGTTTATATACCATAAAAACAAAGACTCACCCAGTCGGACGGGTTATGATCTAGTTCAATTTAAACCAAAAATTTTAGCAAATCAACCGCAAAACCAAAACCTTTGGTAAAATTTTTTGAAACCAAAATTAAACGAACCAAATTTATTTTCGGTTCACTACGGTGAGATCGAGCAACTAATCGAAGAAACTGAACCGGCGGGCCTATGCTAGTCTCTGGAACAAGTCAAAAGCAACGAGAAGTGGATTTTAAAACTGAACTCTAGAGATATTGTTGATTGGGTTCTGAGTTCAAACTAACATTCATACAAAATTATTATTTTAATCGAAATTTCTAAAAGTGTATTCAATTTAGAGTTTTGAAGTAATTTTATTTTTAATAAGTTTTAAGATGATTTTACATGAGTTGGAGAGTTTAATATGATTTTAATGAAATATATAAAGATTCAGTTTAGAATTTTGAAGTGAATCTCTTTGTATTCTGGTATTCTTAACTGAATTTTCAGAGATACATCTTAAAAAGTTAGGAGAATGATTCATAAAAGCCAATCTTGGCTCAGTTACTCCAGATTTGGTTGTCTGGAAGTGGAGTCTCTTACAGCTTCACATCCCTTTGATGTTGAGGATTTCCTTACAGTATTCAAGCTCATCAAGATGGTGTGGGTCAGCTCTGTTGCCAAAGTTCTTGCTGCCTTCTATGCGATTGTTACAGCTTGTCTAGACCGTAGTTTACCATGTGTGTTCTATGTTTCTTATCGCTTCATTCGACCATTTAGCACTTCTGTTGTTGCTATCATAAGTTCTTTTGTGTTATGTATTCATCTATCCTATGTCTTTGTCTTTATGATTCTTGTTTAGCTTTTGATGCAGTCAGTGTGGCTGGTTTGTTGTACGTGAACAACTTCTCTATGATTGGAGCTTAAGATATATAAAAGTTGGTTTGAAGTTTGAACAAAAAAACAAATATAAAGATTCATTAATTAATTATTCCAAGTACAAGACCATTTGTTAATGAAATGTCAGCTCAAAGGACATGACCAAGATAGATTAAGAAAACACACACACAAAAAGGCTAAATGTAGCAGTCACCTCTCTCTCTCTCTCTCTCTCTCTCTCTCTCTCTCTCTCTCTCTCTCTCTCTCTCTCTCTCTCTCTCTCTCTCTCTCTCTCTCTCTCTTTCTTCTTCTTTAGCCTCCACCTGGCTAGATATAAGTCAGACTTGGAAAATAATCAAGAACTGGCCAACATGATCCAAATATAACTGCTCCAAAATCAATTAGTTTGACTTCATTATCCTCCCCAGCAATGTATACCAACTCTTTGATATTGGTATTGCGGTCAAACATACATTTCTGGCAACATAGGGCAACTTTCTTCTCCTCGTTCACCAAAAAACAACTTGAAGTAATCCAGTAGTCACGTCGAGGGTAATTCACTGCTAAGAACTTTATCCACGAAACCTCTTTATCAGTCCCATTAATCTTGTTTGTTACCCATATCTCTTCTCTTTAGGTTGTAATAACACTGAAAACTTCTCTTCTCCAACAATGGATAGAGCTACATCTTGGAAAAAACCTAAAGGATACTTACAAGGAAGGCTCAAACGTTCAAATCTCTCTGTTGTATAGTCAAAACTGACCAAGAACATGCCTAGTTTTTCATCTGAAGCAAACCAATACGTCTTCCCCTTGAGAGACACGATGGTATCAATATACAATAACTGAAAGTTCGAAGTGACATCAAGAGTTCTCCATGTATTAGAATTAATCTCGTAGATTTCAAACTCATGTTCATAACTATAGCTCAATATTTTGTAGCTACTAGTTCCACATCTAGGTTCCTTGTAGGATGCGAGAGCAAATTTGTTCGTTGAACTTATGGTTTGGATTAACCTGTTCTTACACCAGTAAACGGGTTCCAGAGCACGATTTTAGTGTTGCTATTGATAGCACATAACAATAACCCGTGGCAGTGAAAGGCTATATACATTATGACTTGATTTGAATGCAAATTGGGTAGGCTAAGCTCAACTGTAAAGTAAACTCCACAGATGGAGACTGATACTCATCAAACAAAATCTAGAATATTGTGTCACCTTGAAAACCAGAGACTGTTTTGCTGCTTTATCCAAGTGCTTTGTTGAGAATTTCTTATATATAGTTGAATAAACGGTTCCAACATTTGCATGAAGATCGCAGACGTTTCAGAGATATGGCTGGGAGCGACAGAGTATCTCCTCTACCAAATCTCCTGGAAGGTCTGATATCATAGTCATTGTGATTTCTCAAAGCAAGAAAGTGGTGGTGGCTTGGAGTTATTATTTAGGGTTTTCGTATATAATCCGGTCCGGTTTCTTTTTGGAGTTAAATCATCTTTTTGTCATTAAAAATAATCCGGTCCGTTTTCGTAAGAAGAAAAACTCGTACTGTACATGAACCGGCACAACAAGGGAAACTCGGGTAGGCTAAGATTACCTTTAAACTCCATAGATGGAGTTCCATGGAGATTGATTGACACTCTATCACATAGATTCTAGAATGTTTTCTCACCGTGAAAACCAGAGACTGTTTTGCTGCTTTATCCAAGTGAGAACTGCTTATCATTGAATAAACGATGTGGGAACCGAGATTCACACTTGTCGATTTCCGTTAAATAAGGAAACTTAGGAAAACCCTAATTTCCCAGAGGAACCGGATCTCTGCGAAAGCCAACGGCAAGTAACCAAATAAATGCGGAAAAACATGAAAAACGCAATAAAACGAATTTATAAAGAAAGTCGATCTTATTTCCGATTCGCATAAGAGCGTTGCGATCATTACAAAGGCTTTGGCCGCAGGGGCCATAAGCGAGTTACAAACATAAAACCCTAGATCTAGTCGAGTCGCAGCACGATAATGAAAGACGGAAAAAGATAGGAAAAAAGGTTTGCTTGATTTCGGACTGAACCTTATGAAAGGCTGCCTATGTACCCCTTTCGAGGATCAAGTCGAACGTAGTTCAGTTTATTGAGCTGGACAAGAGATCAAACTGCCTGGGCGAGTTCGTCTAGTGATTGAGCGCCAGTCATAGAAACCGAACTTGTCGAGAAAAAGCCTAAGTTTCTAAGTGCGGAAAATTCTAAGTCTAGAAAAGTTGTAAAATTCTCAGATGAGAGCTCCGAAATTTCGTCTCTTTGCTTCTGCCATATGCCTCTTGCTTATATACTCCATTCCTAGGCGGTTTAGTCCTTCCATTCCACCCAGATTCGAGTTTAATGGGAATCTTCCATTTATCTCGATCTTTTTTTTTTCCCGCGGAAATCTTCTATTTATCCTCAAACTTGACATTTATCTTCAAGTTTGACATTTATCTTCTTTCTGCGGGTAAATCGCCAAAACGTCGTCGTATCTTCGGGTTGGACTTCGTTTAAAGTCGCGAGTGGCTTTTATCGCGTTTTATGACTTTCCGAGCCATTTTGCGATAAATCCGTTTTACGACTTTAGACGAGATCGTTTCCTGATACGATGCCGTTTTTAGATAAGTTTCTCGAGTTAATCGTAAAGCTAAGCAATGTTCGATGTTTCGATTAATCGTTACTGTTTTCTACGATTTACTCGGAGTTTTATTAAAATCGCGTTTTGTACGATTTTTACGAAAAATCTCGAATAAATCGTATAGTTTAGGCGATATTTGGTGTTTCGTTTAACCGTTGCCGTTTTATACGATTTTTCCTCGAATTCTTTTCGAGAAAACAAAGTTTTACGATTTTATCGTAAAACTCGAAAGATAGAACGGAACGAGACGAAACGGGAGACATTTCGACCGTGATTCGGAATACGATTGAATGACGTATGCCTTGGATCAAGGATGTGGGAGATCGAGGCTCGGGATGGTCGGCTCGACGTACGGCGAGCTAGTTCAGCTTGGCTAGGTCGCCATATGGCGAACTAGGCGAAAACAACCAGTGGGGCAAAGTCAGCACCTCTTAGTTCGCCCAACGGCGATCTAGCCGGGACGGGACTAGTTCGCGTTTTACGGCGGTTTCGGTTTTTCGCGGTTTTGTAAAACGATTCTCGAATTTTCTAAAACGATTCTTCGAGTTTTTATAAAACGATTCTTCGAGTTTTATAAAACGATCCTCGAGTTTTATAAAACGATTCTCGAGTTTTATAAAACGATTCTCGAGTTTTATAAAATGATTCTCGAGTTTTATGAAACGATTCTTCGAGTTTTATGAAACGATTCTCGAGTTTTATGAAACGATTCTCGAGTTTTATAAAACGATCCTCGAGTTTTATAAAACGATCCTCGAGTTTTATAAAACGATCCTCGAGTTTTATAAAACGATCCTCGAGTTTTATAAAACGATTCTTCGAGTTTTATAAAACGATTCTTCGAGTTTTATAAAACGATTCTCGAGTTTTATAAAACGATCCTCGAGTTTTATAAAATGATCCTCGAGTTTTATAAAATGATCCTCGAGTTTTATAAAATGATCCTCGAGTTTTATAAAATGATCCTTGAGTTTTATAAAAAGATTCTTCGAGTTTTATAAAACGATTCTCGAGTTTTATAAAACGATTCTCGAGTTTTATAAAACGATCCTCGAGTTTTATAAAATGATCCTCGAGTTTTATAAAACGATTTCTCGAGTTTTATAAAACGATTCTTCGAGTTTTATAAAACGATCTTGAGTTTTATAAAACGATTCTTCGAGTTTTATAAAACGATTCTTCGAGTTTTATAAAATGATTCTCGAGTTTTATAAAACGATTCTTCGAGTTTTATAAAACGATTCTTCGAGTTTTATAAAACGATTCTTCGAGTTTTATAAAACGATTCTTCGAGTTTTATAAAACGATTTCTCGAGTTTTATAAAACGATCTTTCGAGTTTTATAAAACGTATTTTTATTTTTACTTTTGCGGAGACTTTTACCCATTGATTCCGCCGTGACCGATTTTGACACCAATAAACGACGGTTCCAACGTTTGCAAGAAGATGGTAGACGTTTGAGAGAGAAAAAGAAAACAATTGTCATAAATAAATGTTTAAAAGTCTGCCGTCGAAAAATACGTATATGGAAAAAGTGAAGTTAATGAGAATTAGGGCTAATTAATATGGAGATGGAAAACTTGGTGAGCAAGTCATTTCATCTGTATTAATGTGAGCAATGAACAACACCAATTAGGATAAAATTTTATTCATGTCTCTGATTCTCAACCAGCTTCCCTGCAAGCTATTATGCTTGCGGAGACCAGTGTTGGTAAGATGCTCTCCTCCTCATCACTCTTCGTCTGCTTCATCGCCGCAATCATCGCAAAACCTTCCTTTAACCATTATTCTCGCTGATCCTAGTAGACCACAACTGGTAAGAGCCGTGATCAGGAGGGATGGTGACATGGATGCTCTTGATCACGAGTTTTCTAGTGATTTTATGGAGGTAACGGAAGTGATAGGAACATCCAATGGATGGATAACGTCTTTGGTGGACGGCGGTGTGCGTCTCCGGGAACACCCGGGGAGGATTCCTAAAGAGGTGAGACCCATTTTTTTACCTCCTCATGCAACTCTGCATCTATGCCAAGCCCAATTGGCGACCAACGTGGCAATGTCCGCATCTTCTCCGGAGAAAGAGGACTGTGCTGTGGCTGTCAAGTTCTTGGGACCTCAACTAAGCATTTGTAAAGGACCGGCTCAAAGCAACGCCGAGTGGATCCACATCAGAATCTCAAACCCTTGTTTCTTTTCCTCCCATGTCATGTATTCGGAGAAAGAGGACATGTTTCGCATTATCGGATCTGGAGGACACCTTGTTGGATCATGGAATCTCGGCAAAAAACCAAAGTTCCAGAGACTTCAATTTCAAAACCTTCCGGAGCTGAGCAAGGCCAAACGGGAGCTTCTGTATTCTTGCAACACAAGCGAACACTTGGTGGAGTCAAGAACCACCGGTGAAACTTTCATGGTTAAGTGGTACAAAAGAATTGCCAAGACCATCTACGGTATAGAGAGAATGGAAACAAAAGCTTTAATGGTGTTCAAGATAGACGAACAACAAGGTAACGCTGTTTACACTCAAGATATTGGTGATCTCTGCATTTTCCTCTCAAGGTCTGAATCATTTTGTGTCCCTGCTTGCCTTGCTCGCCACATGCGTCGTAATCGCGTCAAACTCATGGATGTCGACGAAATCACTATTATCGACCTGGCTGCTCAAAAGTGGAACTGATAATAAGAACACTAGTTTGGATTTGTCTTCTTCTTTTTTTTTTTAAGGCTACAGTCTTCTTGTCTTTTCTCTCTTATAACCACCATTCAAATATCAAATCTATTTTCATATTTATTATCTGTGAGATTGTTATACAATTGCTCTTGGACAAAACTTCCTATAATCTATCATTAAAATAGCAATTTAGTTATGCTTACGCTCTATTCAGTTTGTTCTTTCTGTTGTGACTTTATAATGTGAAATTTATCTAAGCATTGTTGCTTTGATCCGAGTGGCATTGCTTTGGTGACTAGAATATTCCCAAGAGTTCCCAAGAGTTTGTAACGCGGAATATAAGCAGCCATTCACTTACACGCCTTGTTAGGAATCTTTGAAAGTAAGAAAGAAAGGAAAGGCTTGTGTGTGTNGGGGGGGGGGGGGGGGGGGGGGGGATAAGCAGCAGTTGTATATTTCTGAAGCAAAACTGCAAAAGTATTATCTCATTCTGTGTGTTGTACAAAACAGTTAATATTTAAAGAAGCATATAGCCGATGTCAGATATGTGAAATGAAAAGGTTTTACTTTCAATATTGTAAATATTTCAAATGGTAGGAAGACTAGTAGCAGACGAGTTCACAAATGTTCCAGCTATGCCTTTTTCCTTTTTCTATAGCAAAAATGTTTAAACTCTTTGAATACCTATACTCTCACTCATAGAATTAGTTCCACAGAATCAATTGCTTCTATCCATTTTTTTGAGAAAACAGAGTGTGATGAACGTACCTTTTGATTCCTTCACTTTGCAGCATGCATAAAATAATATAGAGATGTATTTGAATTTTGTTCACTCTTTTTGTTCGGTCCTTGGAATAACAACACACACTTTAGTTCAGTCATAGGAGAAAACTAGAGTATGATGTACATATCTTTTGGCTCAATCCTATTTTTATTCATGTTTTCCATTTTCAGCTAAGCCTATCATATGAGATTTCTCAGTCGTCAATTTCTTTGTTATGTACATACTTGTGAGTCTATTTTATATATATATTTAGAGGCAGTATCAGATCAGATTACTCACTTGCAGCCTCATCATCATTAACAATAAACACTCCAAACTCTTGATCTCAACTCTCTCTACACAATCTAAAAAATATTGTATTCTTTGCTGAGATATTTTTTACATATCACACTCTTCCTGATGTCATGCCCGAGATCATTGTTGCTACATCATTACCCAATATAATTGAGAACATTTTAATATAAACCATTTTCCTGATTTATGTTTTTGAATGATGTAACTATAGGCACTTGCATAGGACAATTTCAGACAGATAGAGATCCCTCCGGTGATTTGAAGAAATCAGTTGAGCAACTGCAAAGTTTCAAGTTTATTTTGAGATTTTCACCACAGATTGCAAAACAAATTCATAAGATAAGAATAATTTCCTATTTCTAAGGGGCTTAGATTAAGTAGTTTTCCTATTCTTAGCGTAGGTTTAACTTATTCTCCAAGTTAATGTGGTATATAAACATACGCTAGGTGAATGAATGAGATACACAAGTCCGCTTAGGATATTTTATGGTATCAGAGCCATAGATCTTACCAAATTTTTCTACCTTTTACGTGTTCAACACAAACCCTTGATCATCCTATTTTTTCTACTTTCTACTTTCTACGATGTCTATAACCCCTGCTACATCGACTCCCAGAGCTTTGATGGAATCATCTCCATCTTCTTCGCCATATTATCTTCATCCATCTGATAACCCAGGTGTTCTTATCACGTCCGTTCTTCTTAAACAAGACAAATCCTGAGTGGTCGATAGAGCTTCCCAATTCTCTACAAGCTAAACAGAAAATTGGATTCATCGATGGCATCATTACTAAACCAGCTGATGATCATCCTGACCTAAGCCGTTGGCTGGCTGCAAACTCGATGATTGTTGGTTGGATCTGCACGTCGATTGATCCAAAGATTCGCTCAACGGTTACACATGTACCTGATGCACATAAGCTATGGGAGAATCTGAAGTTTCGCTTCTCGGTCAAGAATGGGACTCGTATCCATCAACTACATGATGCTATCACTAATTGCAAACAAGACGGGCAATCGGTTCTTAAGTATTACGGAAGACTTACCAAACTTTGGGAAGAGCTTCAGAATCTCAAAACAACACGCACCTGCACATGCGCGGCTGCCGTTGATATTGAGAAGGAAAAGGAGGATGCCAAGGTTCATAAGTTTCTCTTTGGTCTTGATGACTCCCCATATCTATCTATTAGGTCTCGGATCATGGATGAAGATCCATTACCAGAACTCAATGTTGTTTATTCTCGATTCATCCGAGAGGAACATAATATGGTCGCAACACGTGTTAAGGAACAACGTTCATATGCTCTGGGGTTCTCTGTCAAAACCGACATCCCTAATTCTTCTACAACAACATCCGCTGACATAGCTCTACCGCGTTCTCGAGATCCAGCTCGATCATGCACACATTGTGGTCGACAAGGTCATGACCTTTCAGAGTGCCTTCTTGTCCATGGCTTTCCGGAATGGTATCAAGATCAACAACGTCAAAACAATTCTAGCTACCGTGGTGGACGTGGCGGTCGTTCTAATGGAGGCCGAGGTCACGGACGAGGACATGTGAATGCTGCACAAACAACTCCTCAAATCAAATCTGATCAACTTGCGTCGTTGATAACACTTATTCAGAATCAAAAAAGCAACCTATCTTCAGAACGGTTGTCTGGTAAAACAACTCTTACTGATGTTATTATTGATACGGGTGCTTCTCACCATATGACGGGTTACTTGGCTTTATTACAAGATGTTTCTGACATCAATACCTCCTCAGTTACTTTTCCGAATGGACGAGTTTCTCAGGCAACTAGACATGGCACATTGGTGCTAAGCAAAGATTATTCTCTGCATGGAGTTCTCTTTGTTCTGGATTTTGATTGCACCCTTATTCTGGTTTCTAAATTACTTAAGGAAACAGGGTGTATAGCAATTTTCACTGATACTTTGTGTGTTTTACATGACCGTTTTTCGAGGACTCTGATTGGAGCAGGTGAAGAACATGAGGGGGTCTACTATTTTACGGGTGTCAAAGTTGCACGGGTCCATGGAGCTACAAAGTTGTCTCCTTCCGCTTCAGTTCTGTGGCACCGTCGTCTTGGATATCATTCCTACAAAGTTTTATCTACTCTACCAGTGTTTGATTCTATTAAACTAGATTTTTCTGATTCTACCAAGTGTGACATTTGTTTTTGAGCTAAACAAACTCTAAAGATTTTTCCTGATAGCATTAATAAAGCTTCTCGACCTTTTGCTTTAATTCATTGTGATGTTTGGGGTCCATATCGAACACCAGCATCATGTGGCGCACTTTAATTTCTTACCATTCTCGTTGATTTTTCTCGAGCAGTTTGGACGTTTTTAATGTTAGAAAACTCGGAAGTCGCCGCCTTCTACAGAATTTTTGCGCCATGAGTGTTTGACAATTTGGTCATTAAGTTCAAACGGTGAGATTGGACAATGGAACATAATTTATGGTTCTCAAGAAATATTTTCAGAATAATAGAATCATGCATCAGACTTTGTTGATACGCCTCAACAAAATGGTAGAGTAGAACGGAAGCATCGTCATATCCTTAACGAAGCACGGCGTGTCTGTTTCAGTCAAAGCTACCTGTTTTTTTTGGATAAAGTATTCTTGCCGCAGCTCATATGATTAATCGAACACTCCCAAGTTCTTGACGGGAAAACACCGTATGAGCTTCTACACGGCACTGCTCCTGTCTACAGTGTACTTCGTGTGTTTGGGTGTCTGGCTTATGCACATCAGAGATCCCGAGATAAGGACAAATTTGGGGAACGGAGTCATTGATGCATCATTGTGGGATACCCTTTTCGCAAGAAGGAATGGCGGTTATATGATTTGGAAACCAATGAACTCTCTGAGAGCCGTGATGTTGTCTTCTTCGAAGATCAATTTCCAGGTATCGACAATGCCGCGTATGTCACGCCTCTGATCATACAAAGCAACTTGATGGATGACTGGCTTCTCCCCACTACTCAACCAGGGGGAGTACGACTTCTCCTAGTCAAATGATATGCTCAAATTAACCTTCAAGCTACTCTCTCAAATAAGAGGTTCGATGTAGTACTTGAGGATCGAATCCACAGAGACCAATTATTACACTTTATTTTTATAGGATCAATATTAAGCTAAAACAATATGGGGTTTTTTTTAAGAAAATAAAACAAGCAAGTAACAAGTTGATTTGGGTTCAGATTAAAGAGAATGC